AATTGGTGCATCAAGTGGGAACGCACTGTTATTATTTCCTTCAGGCTTTTTGGCTCATTCCTCTATTTACTTGCAATTTGTGTTGTTTCTTTGCACAAACCGGCCTTTTCTACTACCGGTACATGTAGGCCTACAGTTTGGACACTTTAAGAGACTGGTACTTTTACTTAGGCTTAATTAACCCTAACCCCCAAGGGACCATTGCAATCCTGCATGTCTTGTTGGGTTCAGCATGGTTAGGCTTAAGTATAGCAAGGCCGTCTAAAAAATGTCAAACCGCAGGACCAGTGTCAGTTCTGTTTAGCCCAGTGCTGTAGAGCTTCCGATATTTAACCAAATACCGGTAAATCTGGGGTTTGAATTTCAAAAATTGGTCAATTGGTTCAGGAGTTTACAATCTTTCTAAGGTGCCCCATACTGTAATATTTCAAGCTTTAAACAATGTATAGTACAGGCACATGTTGATAATGGTCAGTGACTTGCCAACTTTGTAATTACAGACTTACAAAATGTACAGTAAGAATTCTGGTGAGGCGACATCGCATTGGAATTTCTTTAAAATATGCATGGAACAAAGTCTCCTTTAAGCCTTTCTCTCATTGGATGCTGAGTTTCTTAAGTTTAGGATCAAAGACTAAAGTAAAAGTAAAGTCAGCTCTGCGGAGTTGACTACTGCTGTATGGACAAAGAAGCTTGGGTAAATTACATGTAATTTAATAATTAATATTAAATTTTACTTCGCTATACATGTACATCATGGAAAATGAATATGAGTACAAATTCTATCCAAAAATCTTAAAAATGATGTTTAATGACACTTTGTGGAAAGATGAATGTAATTTGAGACTCAGATTTCTAATCACATTTCTAATGTTAGTAAGAATGTGTACTTTCCTCATGGAAGGAGTCTCAACCAAGAGTAGAGTGCTGAAGATGCCTAACATTGGAAACAATATTACAGTATATAAGTTTGTGTACACTGTAAGGTACATGTACGTCATGTACGTGTGCATAAGTACAATGTACATGTGCTCATGTGTACGTTGACATGGAAGCATTTGTAGATGAAGAATATCAAAATTAATACACATGTGCCGCTACCCTGTACACATGTACAGGACGTCTACTTCAGGAAATAAGATTTTGCATCCTATTCTTCAACAAACAAGGTTCACAAGATAAACATCTTGGTGGAAATGTATATAACTCTACAAAGTGCTTTGTGCATGGTCAGAAAGCGCACGTTAGAAGACACTGAACATCAGGAAAAACAAGTTCCTAAAAATAAAAAAACCAAACAGATTTACTGTACGACAGTCTTAAATCCAATACGGAAACAAACCACAGAACAAGTGCCTTCTCTGTAACATTCTCTAACCTGATGCATGTACACTGTACAAATACATGTACGCTACGCCACTGAGTGCCCATTTGATGGAATTTGCATGTGCACCCATGTGTATATATTGCAAATCCAAGAAAAAAAATAAATAAACCACTTCCATTTGACATTAACTATCAGGAAGGCGGTCCACGTCAAAACAATTCGAGATTACTTCCTGACAACACATTGAGAATGATTGAGGTGGGCCGCATTGTGGAGCTGGACAGGAGAGTGTCTGTATGGGACACAAATCTGTGGTTGGTTGGTCTGTTCTTCGTCAGGAAATGACGCAATATCTGCTTGTTTTATGAAAATATACATACACTGTACGTGTACTTTTCAATGAAATGTATTTGATCAGGGCTTTGCTTTAGACTGATAATAATGAAACAAAATGAGGTTACTGACGTGTGTGTGGTAATCTAGTGGTTAGGGGGTTGTTATTGAAAGTGTTGTTTTTGACTTGTTTCTATTTAAGGCTTTTGCTTGATTAAATTTTCCTCAACATTGTTCTGATGTTTTCAAACAAGCATCCATGTACAGGGATTACACGCATTGATGGATTTAATTTTATGCTGTTGGTCACTTACTTTGAGTTGTTTGGTTGATCTGTTTGTTAGTAAATGTTTCTTATGTTTTGTTGTACATATTTTTATACGAGTTTGTTCTTTCCAAGAGTTCATGTCAAATTTATTTGATTGTTTATGTGTGTCAATGCCTTTCAGTTTCACCTGTCAGTTCCCTTCATTTGCACCTGTCAATTCCTTTTGCCTTTTATCCCTTCCAATCCAGTGATCATCCCAACCGTTAACTGCATTAACATTCAACGAACCATCTCACGTCTTTGGCCTTGCATAAAAAAATCGTATATAGACAGACACCCATTGTTTAAATTCCAAAGTACTGGAAATAGCCAATGTGATATATGCCAAAGAAAGACTGCTAATTATCATCAGATGCAGTCATGATTGGGTTGCCACGGCAACCAGCAACTCATTGATTCCTTTTTACTGTGTCACGGCGCTGAGCCAGTTCTGGTGTACAGGTGTGTTGGAGATGAGCCGAGCTCTAGCTCTGATCATGGAGGAAGGAATAGCTCTGATTATGCTAAAGAGGGAATACGAGACATGTACAGTACACTACGCGCCAGATGGACAGTCCCCTGTGCTGTGAGCTACATGTACATGTACATCGTGTGGAATTTTTACTCGATACCAGACTCATCTTCTACCCCAGCAGCCAAACCTTCGTTTGAAATTTTTAAAGGATTCGGAACAACATGTACGTGTCCATGGAGCCCCGGTACCAGCACATACTTTGTACAGGTACCCTGGGGAAATCCTCATGCCACCTGTATCGGTACATGTGTTTTTGAGCTTAGGAGCACCATTTGATCACCTCCATGTACATATACAGTGTGGCCTACATGTTCATACATGTAACTTGTAGAAACTATACAGTGTACATGTATCGTACATGTATAAAAGCACACTGGATGCTTCGTACGTATGCACACTTACATGTACAGTACGTCTCGTCGTTTTCACCACGAAGTGATGTGTCATGGATAGTTGCCACACCACGAACGTATCATGTGTACAAAGTCTGTGAACGGTACGTCACTTCGTGGTGAAACCGACTATGTATTTAGGTATAAAGAAGTACATGTATACAGTACATGTGTGTGCTGTGAACTGATAAAGAAATTTAAAAGGCCGTGTAGAATGCATAAAAACAAAGAAAACGCTTAGAAACCAATTTGAAAGGGTTTAGATTGATGACATTGAGGACTTTCCACATGTACATGTACATGCACATGTACATGCACATGTACATGCACATGTGCTCGTACCCCCTACAGTATGCTGCAGTATGTAAGGTACATGTACATCGGGCGGCAAACCTGGTCTCATCCAGATACAGATCACTCTTGGTGAAACAATTTCGAGAAATCAGTCGGACGGCTTAGATGTACATGTATTTCATTGTGAAACAATTGGGCCCTTGTTATGCCAGCATATGTACCGGTACCAGGGAGGTACATGTACTGTAGGAAAACCCATGAAATGCTTATTGCATTGACACGAATACCTGTATACCGATATCATCTTAGATCTCCATTCAGGATTACATTGCATGCACTCTGTTCAGTAAACCTGCTTATGCCAGACTGTTTGTCCCCTCACAAAGGATGACTATGATTCCATGCAGTCCATTTCTTGCTAATTTTCACGCCTGCACCATCGGTGGGTGTGAGCAGGCATCAAATTGAAATTGGAGAAAGCATTTGTCAGCTGTGGTGTAATTGTTTCCCAGGTCAGCAATGTGAGGGTCATATCATCCGGCTCATAAAACAGTCCTTGGATGTCTGAGATCTGTCATCAAGTTTAATGACCTGGTGCTCAAAGTCAAAGCCCTCAAGTTTTCTCCTATGTATTCCCCAGCCTTTTTGTACATGTACATGTATGTACATTGTACGGTATGTTGACATTTCTGAAGGTGTCTGTACCAGCCCAGTAATGACCATCTGCACCTTGTGCGTGTAAAACGCCTAATTTGATGTTAGTAGTGTTTCCGCAATGGTTATATTTCTGCTTGTGTTTAAACACCAAACAAATTATAAAATGTACTTTTGAATAGACATGCAGGACGTACATGTACATGTACAGTAGTTGGAATGAAACAGCAGAGCACTGTATATTCTTACAAAGATGTTATTCCCTCTTGCTGTCAAAAAGACGAAAATTTAACTGTCAGTTTTGACATTAAACTAGACTTTGGTTTTGCTTTCAAAACATATCTGGTTGGTTTTGCTTTCAAAACATATCTGGTTTCCATCTGGTTAATCGGTAGCCTCCGTGCTGATGCACATGAATACCGGTTAAGTTGCTCTCAAGGCATGGCAAAGATACATGTATGTGCATCAAGGAAACACAGTGAATGCAGGAGTAACTCATGTACCCCCTTGACTGTGTTTTGTGTCACACCCAGTGCCATACATGTTGTGCCCATTGCCACCAGGCAAGACTGGTCTAGATCGTTTTAAGATAGAAGTGGTTTACAGGTACCCGTGTACATTGTAGGAACTGCACATGATGTGGTACAACGAACATGCATAGACTCAACGCTCAACATGTACATGTATGCATGAGCTTTATACAAGATACATGTACCATCTTGGTATCCGGTAGAAGGTTTCTGCCGTGCTCAAAGCACATAAACACCTAGAACGGTATTGTTATGTACAGGGCCTTGAGGTACCGCTACATGTACATGTACCGATATCATCAAGGAGCGTACATGTACACAGTGTACATGCTTTTCACAAGACGTAACATGACGGGCAAAAGCATTTCAGGAAGTGTATCGTGCCCATGGCTCACATGTGCATTTTCGAATCGGGGTATTTCTATTGGCAGTTTCATGTATGCAAGAATGTTGAGAGATTCTGAAGGCGCGGCAGTTCCCACGCACATTGAACGCTGACCATCGAAAATCATGTGAATGAAAATCCTGATGCGCCGTAAGCCTTGCGTTGAAAAGGCTTTGACATTGAAGCATAATTTTTTTTGGGGGGGGGCATTTACGTGTAATTGTTTTAATGCCTTTAAGTAATTGAGAACACCTGCTATGGAAAGAGTACCCCCTGTACTTATGTACATGTAGCTTTGATATCCCCTATTTATTCTTTTTTTTTTTGCAGAATGACCTCTTACCCAAAGCAGTCTATTCCATTTCTCGTATGCTGAACGTCAAATCAACGTCTACAGGCCCCATCAGGTTAAACAGGTAATTGGTCCTTGCCATATCATTCCTTTTATCCATTGCCCTTGCCCTGCTCTGCATGGACATAATGTGTTTCTTGATGTGAGCTTCCATCTGGTCATTTTGTCCAAAGAGTATACTAAGAAATACATGCACCAGTAGAGTGTGCTGTATTTTATGTACAAATAGTGTAGGTCCAGGCTTAAAAGTTCATATTTTGGTCGTATTTGATTGAACAGAAATGCTTTGTATTAGCATCATATGGTACTCTACTTGCACATTTATTGTAGGTGTAAACTGTTGTAGGAGTTGCTTGGCAATAAGAGCTGCTCACATGCACAGAGTAGTGTTCGAGGGGCCAAAGTTATCAATTTCTCTGAGAACTATGTGAACTTCACAAAAGACGTACATGTTTATGTACGTGCACCATGTACAGTATGCTTCCACGAAATCACTGACTGTCAACAACCTTCAATACTTTATCAGGTGTACAGTAAATTTGTATTTGGGTAATTTCAGAAATTAGGGGTCCATTTTTTTCGTGTCCCTGTCACATCTGACTGGTTATTTTGTAAGTTCAGAATACATTTTCTAATCTCCGAGAATGACGCATTAATGCAAATAACCTGCCCAACAAAAAGTAATACATGTAGTTTGAAATCAATTCCGTTGATATTTCCTTGTCAAATAACAAAGGCCAGATGTAACAGAGACTCAAAAATGTCGCACTTTTGGACCCTTTTAATGTAAAGTGTACAAAGTTGGAGAAAAATGGGAAAATTTTTTCCCATCAACTTGGTCTTAATTCTTGAACCTCCTAACAAAAGAAAATGCCCTCAGCCAGGCACGCACTCTTACAGTGTACGTGTACATGTAGGTGCGCCTTACTTCTGTCTCTTCTTGCAGTGTTAAAAAATTACTAATGCTACTTGCATTGCTATGTAAGCCTGGATAAAGGGTTTGTGTATGCTTTATGTGAAGTGGCAATGATGGGGGATTCCAAACTGGTAAAGTTCACCAGAAAACAGACGCCATTCCAAAAGTACTGGTAATGTCCTATCCCATCACTCCAACTGCACCCCGGGATTTCAGATGGAAGGAAAATAGGGGAAAAAAAGGGGAAACAATGTTTGTGTTTCAAAAACTGACTCATCTAAATGCAATTTGTCCCTAATCCTTTTAAACCAGAATATGTCTGTTTGACTCAGACACCTGTTACATATAAGTCTTCTCTTGTCTCCACTATGATGATGTTCTGTTTGACAGTTTTTTTCTTTCCGTTGTCCTCGTGTGTGTCTGACCACAGGGCATGTGCCAATTCGCATTACTACACCTTGGCTAATGACACGCACGAGTACTGTTCAGGGTCCTGCAACGATGTGACACGGTGCGGGCCAGTGACCATTCCCGAAAAACATCTGCACGTAAGTTCAGGAGGACTTTGAAATTGCCAGGGGTGTCTGCTCAGGTTGTAGGTTTGCCCTATTGCACATCATGGGCTCTCTTAGGAAACTGCCTCCAACAGGATCCCTGCCCAGAAATCTGTAGCCAGTGTTATGAGAGCTATCGACAGTTTTCTGACATGTACATGTATCTGTGAAGTTATGCTCCTCTGTCTTCCGGCAGTATATTGCAGCGGCAAGAATACTTTCTTTCCCCGACAGAGTGAAATATCACCGATGGAATGTTTGGACATTCAATCTGCTACTGAAATGAAACATCTTTTCATTGATAGTTTGTTTTATACAATGCCTGAATAAATCTTCATTTAGGTGTACAAGCTGCTGTTTCCATCCTTCAGTCTGCCAAAAAACATGACACAGAGCTACAGTGTTCTGAGTCAGTTCATGCTTCAACAGATGTTATTGGATGCTTTACAAATTGTTTCTGTCATCTGACTTACTTCTGTTTATCAGAAGCATGAGAATCACTTGAATATGCTTTGACAAATTCCTTTGTCAGCCAAAGGAGTGACTGGTGCTTTGTGTTTTATTGTTAGCCATCTGCCAATTTGTGCAAAAAGAGCTGTGTCACAGTCACTTAAAGTTAACCATGTGTGACACAAGCATACTTTTCATTCGAGAGGTGCTGAGTGGTTCAGCTACACTATTTTTTTTTTCAGATGTGCTGGCATGCCATGCATTGACGGAATGATTTCATGTCACATGATATGCAGTTAACCAATCAGATGACAGGGATTTATTCAAGTGTTGTATGAAATGGGACAGTGATCAACCTGACTTTGTGCGGGTAGACTGCGTAGTAGGGTCTCATTATACATTAACTCTAACCCCCTAGGCTCTTGTACCAGAAAGCATACCGAACCGCACAAAATCCAATAGATACATGTATGGTACATGTCCTTGTCGATGTACATGTACTTGTGCATTGAGGTCACTGTACCAAACCCGATAAACTCCAACAAAGTGACTCTGTTGGAGTTTGAGTGATATGGTATGGATGGGTCTATGCAGTATAGGATGACTTGCACTGAACAGTACCAAACCTGACAAAATCAAGCATAGTCCAACACTTGGTACAGCAAGCCAGACATTGCACAAAGTGAACCCCTGTGTCCCAACTCGCACAAAATTCAACACCATCTCCCTGGGCCTTTCATCCCAAGTCTCACAAAATTCAACAAGTTCCTGAGGTACGGTACCAAACCTGCCAAAACCTCACAAAACCTGCTGTTGGAGTACGTTAGGTTTGGGGTAGTTAGGGTTAAGCTGCTTCTCTACCATATCAAAAATTGACAGCATGTACATGTAGTTGTCAACTACTAGTTTGTTATTTAACCGATTAATTTTCTTCTGGCTATTTTTACAGTCAAATTATTTTGGTTCAGTGGAAGAAGGCGTATATCTAGATGTTTTGTACTGTATTTGTTGTGTTACACGTGTATTTGTAAAGTCTTAGTGTGTTGTTGTCTTTGTGGAACTTTGTTTATTCCTAACTGGGGACCCCACTCGACAAGCACTGCTTCTTGGGGGCCCCATCCACATACATGTACCTGTATGTACACTTTGTGAAACTGTTTTTATAGAATAATGTTACGTGGAAAATAAAGTGAACTGAACTGACATGTTTGTAAATCAGACTGTATGACCATAACTGCACTTACAATATATTGAACTTTTTTCCTCAAACACAACATGAATGGTAAGGATAAGTTAAAATTTTGCATTTTTTGTCACATTAGGCGTGCTACACTTGTGATAATACGCAGAGCAACTGCAGAAAGAGCAGCGGCGAGACGGGGCCCGGTGTGGCTGACACAGATTTCATCCTGTATGTGACGGCCGAGAACACAGTTGATTGTCGGATTGCAGACACCACGGCTCACGCGTCATTCTGTCAGTTGGAGGCAAGCCAAGATAGGTTGGTTATGGTGCCGTGTGACAGGGTACTGCCAAACCTTTTGGAATAATTGGCTTAGGGCTAAATTTGTTAGGCTCGTCAGGGTTTTTGACAAAATCTGGATTTAAGCCAGTTATTCTAAGTAAGCACTTTTTTGAGTTAAAAGAGCCTTGCACAGTGTAAATCAATGAAAACACTCAACCTGTTTACACACACAACACCAATTTTCAACAGGATTCCACACTGAGCACAAAATGCACATCAAAGCAAAGAGCGCAGTTTGTACTTTCTTTTTAACTGAAAGAAACTTGTCTCAGAAAAGACATCTGACTCGCTTTTCGAGTTCCGGTCGCATATAAAATGTACGTAAACAGTCTGAAAAGAGTTTTATAATTTGCCTTAATTTTGCAGTAGTGTTTTCATGTTTTTCATTTTTCACATTATCTTGGATTTGTGCTGCTTTCTCCCCAGGCCCATTGCTGGTTACATCAACCTGTGTCCTCAAGCCTTGACCAGTGACCCTGTCCAACGCACCATGCAACTCACTACAGTGCAGCATGAAATTATTCACTCATTGGTAAGCAAGGTGTTCATTCCTAAAAGGTTTGTCTAGCCATGGTAGCTGGGCAGGGCCCTGTATGCATGGAGCATGTCCTAGAGCCTTGACAAATTATGGAAGAATCAGAGTGATGGAAAGTTGTTTTGGACTCAAGTTTAGTTTAGCCTTTTTTTTTGGTTTGATTTAAAGAAGTGGAAAAATTTCAGTAGATCTTGCTCATAGGAAGAATACATGTATACATGCATGTTGGGAAGTTTAACAACAGGACTTATGGACAATGCATCCATTCCTTTGTGATTTTTAAGTAAACTTTGTTAGTTACAGCTTTTCAAGTATCAAACGCTAACATCAACGTTTTTGGTATGCTTTAACCGGTATTACCTTGAGACCGTGGGTGGTAAAAGACTTCACATATTTGGTCTGGAAGGGATGAAAAGGAGTTGTAGAAAAATGAAATCCCTTGAGAGTCCCTTAACAGAAACGTTGTAAGCTAGAAAGCATTTCAATCACCGAGATATTGTTATGTTTGCTTTCGTGCTTTTGGGGGAATTTGGCAGTGCAAAGTTTATTGATCGAAAAGCAATACACAAGGAACAGACATGTATCATAGTTGATCAGAAAAGTGGTGTATCAAGTCTATTTAACCATGACCTGCTTCCAATAAAATTCATCAACATTTGAGGGTACACACTTGCTTTCATAATCACGAGCTACAATAATGCCAATTGAATCATGACGATGAGAGTTAAATAGAATTCAATCTCCTTTTAATATACTGTATGCGAAATCACCATAAATACCAACAACTGTGTAATCTCGTGGATAAACACGTACTTGTACTTTATCAATGCAACCTTGGGCCAATTTCACAGAGCTGTGTGAGCAGATTGTGCTTAAGCATGAAAAAACCTTGCTTACTAAACAAAGGTTACCAGCTGAAGCTCTATGTGATTGTCATGCTAACCAAAAGACAGGTACTGTAAATATCATTCCAAAACAATATACATCACAAGAAGTTTTGGCTGGAAATCTGATTTGTCAAGCAAGGTTTCTACATGCTTAAACAAATTCTTCGCTTAAGCAGCACTATAAAATGGCCCCTTGTTTCTTTCTACAGTTGTACGTGTATTTCTGTCATTTTCTTTTCCTTTTTTCCTTCAATATCTTCAGGGTTTCACTGCTGCTCTGTACGCTTTTTACCGTGACAGTGACGGAAATCCTTTCACTCCCAGAGATCCTTCTGGTTTGCCACCATTCAATGAAAGGTAAGTGGGTTTCCTTGGGAAAAAAAGCCCACCCCTGATAATAAGATGATGTGCAGGGTCATATGTGCAGATTTTGCCGTTTAATTATTTGTGTGATTTTACTTGTCAAATTGGAATTGCCGATGCATTTCCTGTTGAAAAACCTACATGTCTAATATAAGTATACAACGTGTGGCTAGTGCTTCACCGCCATCACAAAGTAAACCAGATATTATTTGTGAAGCACGAGTTGGGACCCGTCCCCATCCCTGAGAATTGTTTTCATTCATCTTGATTGGGTACTACTCGGTGAGAAAGGGTGCTGTCTTTTCAGAAGGGTCGCTTCAGAATTTTGGACAGATTTTGGGCACTGAATCTGCAAAATTGTGGTCATGTATTTGTTGTTTTAAGTATTCGTCACAGCCCTGAACTTAATCAAGGAAATCCTGACAACAGATGGATACTAACTTATTTGGAGGATGGATGGGTGTTTTTTTGTTTCCAGTGGTTGAAAATCCCCCCTTCTTTGGCAATGTAACAACCCCCTATTTGTGGAATAGTTCAGTGCATACTCTGTGTGTCTTTTTTGTCAGTCTCGGATTATACCAGTGGAGCAATAGGGTAATCAAGCCGATTAAACGGAGGGACTGGGTTGTGCGTGGGGGGAGCATCTCACACACAGTCAATATGATGGTCACGCCCAATGTTGCGGTAAGTTGCAAATGTATATCAAAGCAATACATTTATACATAGGTAATTCCAGAAATTAGGGGTCCAAAAATGAAACATTTTCGTATCCCTGTTACATCTGACCTTTGTTATTTCAGATGGAAATATCCCCGGAATTGATTTCAAACTATTACTATTTGTTTGGCAGGTAATTTGCATTATTTCAGCACTCTTGGAAATTAGAAAATGTGTTCAGAACTTACAAAATCATGTCAGATGTGACAGGGACACGCACACAAAAAATGGACCCCAAATTTCTGGAATTACCCAGATATACATGTACTTCATCTGTGTGACGTTAATTTACAGTAGATTTTTTTTTTATTTAATAGTATTTTTTACCCAGAAATCTGGAAATAAAGAATTTTAGGAGAAAAGAGTAAACATGGTGAACCTGGTTACTCCCTTCCCAATTTTTTTTCAGTTAGTCAGAATCTGAGCCTCCCTTTGTTGATATTTTTCCCCCGAAGTGAGTTGAGTACAACTTTTTGTGGATAAGCGAGTCATTCTCAGATCAAACATGCCAGGAAGTCTGTGTACTCAAACGTTGATTTGTAACTCTCAATTAATAATCTCTTAACAGAACAAAAATCAGTATCTGCCCTATGTAATTCTGTGACTGGTATCAATTCAGTTTTGTGACACTTTTTAATGTTTTGGTTCCTTTTTAGAGGGAAGCCAGGAGTCACTTTGGCTGTTCGTTATTGGAGGGGATGGAATTGGAAAACAATGGAGGCTATGGAACAAAATTAACACATTTTGAAAAGAGACTTTTGGAGGTAAGATTTTCCTCTTCACATGTGTTTTGCTTACTACATCTGATGCTATTTGGTTGGGTTTGGCTTGTGTCAGTTTGATATGAGAATGCAGTGTTTGCGAAACATCTGCTGGGCTCGCTTCTTTGCGACAAATTATTATTATTATTAAGTATTTCTGGTAACCAAAACAAGTCCCTTCACAAGTCCAGTCACAAGTCCCTGCACAAGGCCAGTCATAAGTAACAGCGTGAACAATGACAGAAAATTTATTTTTTCACAAGTCATTTGAATAGATAATTTTGGATTTTGTCCTACACGACATGTATTTTAACACTGTATACTCGGTGTGTGCCCCTGAAGGCTTGTGAAAAAACCACAAGCGTACTCGGGTGGACTTGAACCCACGACCTCCTGCTTACTAGTGCGGACGTCTTAACCACTCGACCACTGAGCTTGCCGGTGTCGGCTGGTTGGTTTGAATCAGATGTAGCAGCGGGTACCGCAAACAACTATTGTTAAAATACTGTACCCGTCGGGCAGGGCAAAATCCAAAATTAATTTACATCTCTCCGGCGCAAATCCATCTTTGAAATATTTATTTGAAAAGCTTGTGAATTGGCTTGAGATTGAATGACTTGTGATGGACTTTAATACAGGGACTT